GCACAACATGGATAAACTATGGAAAAATATAGAGGTACAAGCTGCATATTGCGTAAACATGATGTTGTTGCGAAGAATCAGAGATTTCGAATATGCCTATACCCAACAACTTCATTATCAACTGTCCGTTGACATTAATCCTACCTGTTGGCTTATATGTGACGTTAACATCAAGCTATTTCATCGTGTTCCAATAAATTTCTGTTTTATCATTTTTGTGAGACATGATACTGGAATCAAAAGACGGCATAAGAAAACAACAAGCATTGATAGGATTTGTAGTGGAAACAAACAAAACAAACTAACAAAAGAGAGAGGGCTGAAAAAAGCGATTGTGGCAAAAAGCTAAAATCAAAGGGCGCCTATGGCCAACTTCTGGATAAAGTATTAAAGAGATATATACATGTAAAGTTTCCATCAGTAAACTAAGGTGTTAAAAAAAAGATAGAAAGTAGAACCATTGCAAGTATGTAAATTATAGTATTTGATTATGTGATGGAAACCCCCGAAGGGGCGGTACATGGGTCATTTTTTTTTGCTCTTGACTCACAAACTCTTCCTGATCCTCGCTGCTCCTCGTTACGTTTAGCGCATGGACAATTCGAAGATCCTTCAAATTTAGTCTTTAGGTTGATCATTGCACTAATCTGAAACATTAGAAGTCCATTTCAATTTGGTAAATATCGAAACAGCCGCGTGAAGGCAATAAACATCGCGACGATCGATGCAATCGCAATGGCGCCAGGACTTCGGACTACTTCGGAAGGACAGATCTCTAGTTCGTGGCCGACTAATTAAGACTAATTACGAAAGTACACGCCAATTTGAATATCCCAAAGTGCCCACAACAACTCGTTCCTACGCTGTCGCGTATCCAGGAGTTAAAAAGGAGAACAAAAGAAACAAGACCACTAACAAATTTCCCGCGCTTGAATTTCAATATTAGTTGAGAACGCTTACGCGGGGAAATTGCTTGCATGGCCATTGAGCTGCGCATTACTTACCTAAAATCACCAAAAAATTATTACTTCACAACGGACAAGAGTAGCACTGTTCACTGCTTGGATGAACCCTTGAAGAGTGGAGAGGTAAAGGTCTGTTAACTTGACTTATGTAGTTATCATTTAAGATCAGCCATTTTATTTCATCGTTGACTCATTCCATCGTCTTCTGATGCAATTCAATCTTTGGTCAAAAGCTGAACATGACAACAAGTCTTATATACTTACCTTATATAAAAAAAATTAGACCACTAAATAAAGACATCAACCTTTATCGATCGAAAAGTGTGACAAAGAACACAAAACAAAAAAAAAAAAAAGCAAAAACAAAATCATAGTAGTTCACCTAACAAGCTCCTCGCCAGGATTTATGCCTCGACTAGCGACTGTGATTGCTTTCTCGGTACGATGCTGCGAAAATTATTCGACAAATGAATTCTTCGCGCGCTTTTCCAAACGACTCTAATTGGAGTTACACCACAGTTAGTACTTATACCTTCATGTGACTGTATTCAAGTCCAAAAGTCGGTGTTCAGTCGTCGGTCAGTTAATGATTGTGAGTACTGATTCGGCCTGGCCACCACATCCCTAACTCTCTTCATCTGAGCCGTCGACGGACTAGGCTACAACTAGAAATAATCTTAAAATGTTCGCAACTTGGGCGGCCATAAGCTAAAAATAAAAAGTAATTCATATTTTGTTTCGGATAGCGTGAAGGTTCACAAATGTTCTAGGAAAAATAATAAAAAAAAAAGATTTAGTGCCCCATCTCTTGAAAGAAACTCATTAATGCGGTAGAAAATTTGAGTATGAAGAATAATAAAAGTAGAAAGTAATAGTTTGTTTTACTTAGGCATCGATGCTCACACATGAATAAAGAACAATTTACAAGTTAAAACTAACTTTAAGTTATAAACTGACCTAAACCTCAATTCTGTGAGGAATATACTTATATGAAATGGAGCTTGTGGAAGGCAGGGAAAAAAAGGAGATGTGATTTCAGTTATGACTTAAGAGACCACAATAAGTAACCCTAACTTTGACAAAAACAAAAACAAAAACGAGATCTTTTTAAGAGCTACTCGGCTATCAAAACCTATGTCTTGACTGGTCGTAACGTTGGAAACTACCTACCATGGGAAAGCCACACTTTCTTAACATGTCACAATCCTACCAACGTCTAGCCTCATAAGTCTGCGATTGTGGCCAAGTTAAAATGTCGAAATTCAGCATTCCTGTACATGCAAAATGAACGAGTAAATGATTGCGGCCATCGCATTAAAGGAATTTTTCGTACGACTGACTCGCAGATTTTGGATTGAAGAATCCCCCTGATGATCAACATTTTCGTGCCTGTGTTTGTTAACTTTTGACGTTTAAATTCTGGCGATAACCTACGAAATCAATATGCTAATAACACGGTTTACCAATGGAGGTGCCCTTGACGTCGTTGGATTATAAATCTCTTTACCTTTTCAACTCCTTTGTAGGCATTTCATGCTAGGATGACCACTGTAGAGGCGTGTCTTACTCAATAGTTCTCGACGAAAACAAGAAGACATTGACACTGAATAAAGCTAAACAATGCTGGTAACCTCAGCTTTCTGTTTTTAAACTTCACATACCATCTCTAGGCTGAAGTAGACAACACCAGGTTGTAGTCTCTCTCGATCTGTAAATGATCAATCAATTAAAGCTCCTAATTTTTTTTCCCACTGGTATTCAAAAACCGCAATATATTCCTTTCAGTAGCCGTGAAAATGTAGCCAGTCGAAGGGCACGGCCCGGTTATTTAAACGGCGGCTAACGCTATCCAACGGATTATCGCCATCCTTCGAAAACTGTCAACAAAATGTACTGCGCTATCCACAGGATAGAGATTTAGCTAGTACATAGTGTTATCACCCCTCGAACAAATGGGGGCCAGAAGAACAGAGCTGGCCTTACTGTCAGTCCACCTAACGTAACTGACTGCTTGTTTCCCGCGTGCTATTTCACGTGACTTCGTAGCAACTTCAGCCAACTACGAACTACTTAACATCTGAACGAAATTAACATCTTTTCTTTTTGTCTCTTATCAGTTGGGCTTTATCTGCATAAAATTTAGATGAGTTATCATGGACAGGAGCCCACCACTTAGGCTCCTGCATTGGATAGACAATAAAGAGAGCGGAGGGGAGGGAAGGCATAGTGATGCTGTGGCACCACATGGACAGGTTAAAGCCTGAAGCGGACAACCTGATACATATATATGTCAGAGAATGCTGCAAACTGAGGGTGATCAGTGAAGTTATAGGCAAACTATTGTCAGGAGCGTAGTATTTTTAACTTTTTGCCGGTAGGAGACTGATCTGAAACCTAAAATAATAGCAATAGTTACTTGTCCTTCATACATTCACCTCAAATGTGTACGCTCGATGCAATGCTCGCCCTGACTCGTCCACTTCATTGCACGCTACGTTCTTCATCCGCCTGTGAACGACAAGGCCAAGTCTTCAACCCGATGCGAGCAACTCCATTTGTATGCTTGCTTGACTTTATATGCTTGTCTATTGAGCTTTTCTTTAATGAAAGGGTCTTACTACAGGCATTACAACGCAGATTTCCACTCACCACTGCGAAATGTTGTTCTGGATAGTCTTTCATGCGATCCCAGGCGCATGTTGTGTTTCCTTTCCCTGAGGACGAGGTCGAGCTACCGCTTCCTCGTTGTTTGTATTTGCCTTCGTTGACGTGAATTTTACGTTTTCTAGAAATTGAAGCTCTTGCAGGACTACTAAGAGTTGCCCCAGTAGCTATGGTAACCTCAATAGGGTCAATATCTGTATTATTTTAATTTTCCTCGTCAGACATTTCAGCCTCTAATTGTGATGCCTCGCAAATACCAAGATGGCGGGGGGGAAGCTCTATTGTTGGAGCGAATAACCGCTGGATGTAAGCGCCCGTGATATAGATAGCTGCTGGCTAGTTCGTGGGCGCACGTGTTATTTTATAAATTATTTGGACGAACGTACGACATCCTTAGTTTTGACCACTTTTAATAAAAAACCTTTTAGTAAAGACCTTTTTGATGGTTTGGTCAGTTTTTAGCTATTTGTTGAATCAAAAGTTGCCAAGGAAGGTAAAAGTTGTTCTAAGTTGCTCATAGTACAAAAAGTTGCTCAAAAGTTGCCGAGCACAATCTATTTATGCCTAACGGAAAGGGATGCCACTGTAGTCAAAAATAGTAACCTCGAGAAAAATCCTGTCGAATTTCTTACCCCAATCCGAGACGCATTGTCTGACGGGATGTAAGGTGTTCCACGTTCTTTCGCGCGTAGGATCCATCAGTCATTTCCCAACCCCCTTTGGAAAAATTTTTTAGTGAATCTATCAAACGTTTACTGAGGGCAAACATGGCAAAGACGGGTCTCATAGCAGTATTCGGTTTAAAAATTATCTCCAAGTTTCTCCGAAAACCGTTTCAAAAGTTACAACGTAGTATTTTTTGGGTATACTCGAACTAAGTCGACTGACGACAAAAAATTCTCTAGTCTGTTCGAATTACATGGTGCTGGAACACGCACCCAATATTTCCCCTTATTGACAGACTTTCTCGTCTGAGAAAACCTAAGGAAAATAAAACAATCTCATGTTAGAAATATTCAACTATACTTAAATAATTTCTCTCGGTGTAATATTTCTTTTCCTTTTTTGATGAGAGTAAAACTCCTTTTGGGCGCTTGAATGAAAAATTTCATTTGTATTTGAAGTAGACTGCACTGAGGTCTCCTCAGGTTTCGATCCCAATAGTTGGCCTGTGCCTATTGAAAGGATCTTAGTCCTGATGCAGGATCCCAAGGAGAAAATATTCTCCCCAAGCATCGAGTATTTTTCATACTACTTGCATCACAGCTTGGTTGGCGGGAAAAAGTCGTTGGCGCATTATAGAAAGCGGTGTGGGGGGGAGAGCGGTGCGTGACATACTAAAGACCGCCCAGAAAGGCCGAGAGGAGATTAAGTAAACATTGAGGGTCACGCAGCGACGATTTCTCATAAATATTTTTCCACTGGCTACCTCTACCTCGTGTGGCTGACCTGTAAAAGAGGGAATCCTTGCAATTAAGGTAAAAATCTCTTCTAAAGACCGTTCTGATAAAATAAATCCGCTGGAACATGATACCTTGTGAAGTCTTGTGACAATAACGTGGGTGAAGCAACGAATCTACGCGCAAGGAAAGAGTCAACTTGACGATGGCAAATTCATCATCAGATGCCGAGTAAGTAGTGATTCGTTTTTAATTTTGATATACAGTACTTGGTGAGGGTAGGATACCTTTGCATTATGGTGCAATTATCCGACGAAGTCCGGGGAGTTTATCCGAGAATGGAAACCCCGCTCATTAAGCTGAAATCGATTGTATAGACACGCCACACGGTGACCCTCCCGTCGCTAAACGTTAAGAACTGCCATCAGTTTATCACAGATTGCAAGAACACTTTGAATACAAGAATTGTTTTTATGATGACAAGAGCTTTGAGTGATTAAGAAACTGCCAACCAAATAATTAATTGATACTCTAAATTAAGGGTTGAAACTACTTACATAGTTTTTAAATTCGCAGTTGGAGTTGGTCGTATTGGCGATTGATGAATAATCTTCTCCGATAATCAACATAAATGTAAAAACAAAACATAAAAGTCTTCGAATCCTCGGTGTGAATATCTCACCGATATTATCGAAGATTTCGTGACGTGACTCGGTGTGTCAATGACATTTTTGACGTCCTTCATAAGTTTACACCCCTGAGAATAAATATAGATATATATACCCGTAGGGTTTTTTTTTATGAGAAAAGAAAAGGTATATATATTTATTGTAAAGTTTCAAATCGCAAAGTTTTTGAAAACGGGTGTATATATATTTGCTTACAACAAAAAAATTCGCTAAGAAATATTGGTTCCTTTTTTCTTTACGAAAGCAAACACCGGTTATAAGCATGTCACGCTTCGATAGCTGCATACTTCATAGTTAGTGTTTAATCCCGTCACGCAAGTCGACCAGTGGCTGTATGTGTTCAAATGACATTTCGATTGATATGCCCACAATTCTCGTCAAAACCCTTGGGACACATACGACAAAACGGTGGAAAACATTTGAGCCAAAGGTTGCCCTTCCCCCCTACAAGTTTGCAAGTTAGTAAAGTTGTTTTTAACATTTTTCTTGGGAGGTGAAGTAATTATCTTCACAAAAGAGATGCAATAAAGGAAATGCAGAAAAAAAGCCTGAAAAAAAATCAGAATCCGACCGTATTCGAGCCCATTCCAGACAGATACCAGCTGAGCTACAAAGCCACATGTTGAGAGTGAGGAAAATTTAAAAAAAAATTCTCGTCCTCATACAGTTGATTGGTCACAATTAAATGACCTACGTAATAATAGTTGACCCGAGTATGAAATACAAAGTAAAGAAAATATCCTCCCAGTTGAGTTACAGTATAATGAAAGAAATTGCAAAGAAAAAAAAATTAAAAATAAAAATGAGATTCAAACCCGTGCCTCCGAGACTGTGCTGGTTGGACGCTAATCTACGAAGCACAAATGGAACTTTCACTAAAGTAATGACTTATTTGATATGATTAGGATGGGCGTCTCTGAATCGGACTTCAAGCGGAAAAGACGTTGGGCAATTGGTTTGATAATCATCTATGTCACAGTTGCGGTGGGAACGGGAATTTTCCTTGCTTACTGGTTTACAAGATATCGATCATGGGAAGACAACTACCCACCCGGATATCCCGACACCCTTGGCGGACCGTACAAGCAAGCAAGCGTGGCATCAGACGCCGGCCCGTGCTCGCACATCGGGAAGAACATTCTTAAGCAAAACGGTTCGGCCGTGGACTCCGCAATCGCCACGATGCTATGTGTCGGAGTAATCAATTTACATTCGACAGGGATCGGAGGTGGTGGATTTATGCTCGTATACAATCGGAGTGGTCAAGTCGCTGAGGTGTTTGACTTCAGAGAAACTGCTCCAGCCGCTGCGACAAAGGACATGTTCAAGAATGCAAGTTACAAAGAATTGAACAGTGAGTAAATATCGCGACTTGACGCAAGCGACGTCACTATGGATTGACTTAATGAAATAGCTGTTCGAGGAAGTTCTTCCTCTCCATCGGAAAGGAAGGGCGGTCAATCTTCTGCCCCAGATCTAGGAGGCCAAATAAATCGCGTTTGTCAGAAGTGAACTCCTTACACTGACATGAATTTTGAAATTTAGTCAGTAATTCTTTGTCAACAACATGTAAAGGTTCTCCTACATGGCTCTTGCGTTTAGAGCCCCCCTAAACAAGGTCATAGCTCAGTTAAAAAGATAAATATTGGCTTCTTTTGATTTGAAGTAATTCAAATCAGATTCAAGTCTCAGGCTGATCAAATTTCAGTCTACAGAAGAAATATAAGCTTAGCTGAGACAAAAAAGGTGCAGTTTTTTCAAGAATTTACGTTCAATTTTATCACAGCTGGTCTCCAAGATGTCGGCGGAGGTACCGGAACAGCTAGGTTAATACGCGCTCTTACAAGCACTCTCCCTAAATTGCGTTCCCTTCAATTTTCAGAATCCTCTTCTGAGCGCCTCACCAAAATGAAAGTTAAAAAAAAAAAAACCGCGACCTACAAAAGTTTATCTTTACATTATCTATTCTACGCATTTGTTTTCAAGGTACGCTAGCCACTGGTGTCCCAGGTGAAGTGCGCGGTTATCACGCAGCCTGGAGAGCGTATGGACGCTTGCCATGGAAACAGCTGGTGCAGCCAGCAATCGACCAAGCAAAGTACGGCTTCCTTATATATCCTTCGCTTTACTTGACGATTTTGAAAAAAGAACATGACATCAGGAAAGATCCCGGGCTGAGGTAAGTAACCTTTACTATCGCCTTTCAGTAAATACTCGTGGGCTACTTAGTGGCCTACTGCTTGGTGTGCTAGGGACGGATCGAAAGATCAAAATTTGAGGCCTAACTGGCTCGTAGCATTGAGTTCTTGAGCAAGATATTTCACTCTTACAGTGCCTCTCTGCAGTCAGGAGTATGGATCGATAATGTAAAAATATCTGGAAAACCTGACGAAATACTAAGAGGTAACCTGCGTTAGCACACCATCAAGGGAAACTTAGTTGAACTTTTGGCTCGTGAGCACCTTTTTCCTTTTTACTTTAAAGGTACGCTTAATAGTTTTATAACACTTTTTTTTTCAGAGAACTATTCGTTGATAAGAAAGGAAACCTGAGACAATTAGGCGACAATGTCACCAACCTACAATACGCGAGATCCCTCGAGGTGATACGAGACAATCCCGAGAGCTTTTACAACGGATCTTTGGCTAACAAAATCGTCCGAGACATTAGAAAGCGAGGCGGGATCATCACTTTGCAAGACCTGAGAGAGTACAAAGTTATCAGAAGAAAGGCAATTATTAACAAGTTGAATGACATGACTTGGTATACAGCCCCTCCGCCTGCCAGCGGTCCTGTGATAACTCTCATATTGAACATTCTGAAAGGTAAGGAACCTAATGAGGAACCATCAAAGGAGATCAGCCTTATGGGGGATCAGGTAAATTTTGTCGTCACACAACCAAAATTCTCATTACGACATTACATCTCCGCTGCTGATAACGATGCCAGATTCATCATAGTTATTGCGAGTGATTGGCTTCTAATTGTAGTCCTTTATAGTGGTCCAATCATGTGTGGAAATATGGCGACCGTTTCAAGGGCCTATTCCAGCATATCTCAAATTTGAACAACTGTACGAACAATTTTAAACGGGGTATGCGTCCGATTGGTTATCCAATATTAATTTGGTTTTCAGACCGCTTCTTGGAGTTGAAAAACAGGGCGGCAGGGTGAGGTCTCTGAACAATGGCTTGCTAACACTAACAATGACTTGCAGAAAAAAAAATTATCTTTCGAAGTTCCTTTGTACATTTCTAAGAGAAGCTTCACGAAAAAAAATTCTAATATCAGCGACTGTCTATTGATCTTTTTTAAAGAGTGATTGAAAAGAGTACTACTAGTGTTTGTGACATGACACTATGTGTAAGAAGTAACATTTGAGAATGACGCTTTTTTTCAGGTTATAACATGACTTCACAATCGCGTAATTCTTTGACGTTTCATCGTATTATTGAGGCTTTCAAATTTGGTTTTGCTTGGAGATCACGCCTTGGGGACCCGGCCTTTAACGTCGGCATGAATGAGGTAAGAAATATGTTAATAACTAACCTGGTATTTCTCTGTAATTAGGCAAATATGCAAAAGTTTGCGATCATGCGCTCGAATTGTAGGTTAGAACTAGGCTTTCCAAGAGACAATGACTTGCTGTTTCATGTTATAAGCAAGAAGAAGACCTCAAACTTGCTCGCACGTTTTTGTGGTACATTCGAAGTGGGGAGGGGGCGGGGGGGGGTGTCATTGTGATATTCTCGGAGGCTTTATAGTGAGACAACTTTTTTTATACGAGAGAAGAGATAAGAAATCGTAATGATGGGAATTAAATGTGGCAAGGAAAGGTAGTTAGTTCAGCCGCTTGTGGAACTTTGGTGGCGCCTATGCGCATTACGAATAATTTACTCTTCCCCCCCCCCTTCCTCTCCCACCACTTCGAAACCTCAACGGAGGGCATGACTTTGAAATTGCCCCATTGAATGGCAAGTCTTTCAGTTCGACACGAATGATCTCATAAACAGCTGCTTGTAAGTCTCGACGTCATGTATAATAATCAATCTTCAATTTCTGTGTTCACATTTTACAGACAGTCTCCAAGATGACAAATCAGACGTTTGCCGAATTATTGCGTCAAAAGATTTGGGACAACCAAACACACAGCAACGCTTCTTATTACGGAAAATTCCAGTTTGAAAGAGACCACGGTACTTCTCATCTTTCTGTTTTGTCTCCGAACGGTGATGCTGTGGCTCTTACTTCGACCATAAACTACTAGTGAGTTAACCCCTTACACCCTAACATCAGTATGTATATTCTCCATACAGTTCTCTTTATAGTTCCTAAGGTGCTGACAAGGAGTATTTTTTAACAGTCAAGAGTTGCTTCAGTGGGTAATCATTTCCCATATTCTTTTGACCTTTACACTTTACTCAGTTGTGAATTGTTGAGGGAAATAAGATGCTAGTCGCTCTGAGGGATCAAGGGTTAAACGGTACTAGGAATGATGGTCGACCAAACAATTTAAGTCTCACTAGCCCAACGCTTTTTTGCGGGCAGATATTATTTACATGGTACAAAGTGGCTAAGAATATGGAATGATCTAGGGGAACTAAATACGAGTAGAAATCCCCCTTCCCCTTCCCCTTCCCCCTTCCCCCTCCCCCCCCCCCCCCCTCCCCCTTCCCCCCCTTCCCCCCCCCCATCCCCCTCCCCCTTCCCCCCCCCCCTCCCCCCTTTTTCAATTCGTGAGGTTTTCTTGATAGTTCCATTATTGTGAAAGTATGATCAAGGAATAGTGGCCAAGTTTTCAACCAGAGAGAGCAAAGGTATATTACTATAATTCTAGTTCCTAATCTGTTTTGATGGAATCACTCCAAATACATCGCATGCACAACCTATGCTGCCACGTTCCTCAAGGTTTCACGTTCGTATGTTGTATAATTACGTCTTCTTTTTCTTCATTCGATAGTTTTGGGTGCAAATTTCGTTCCACAGTAACTGGGATAGTCTACAACAACGAGATGGGTGATTTTTCTACACCAGGCCAGTTAAACCCAGATGAGATCAAACCGTCCAAGAGCAACTATATCAAGCCTAGAAAAAGACCTCAGTCCTCCATTAGCCCTGTTATTTTCACTGACGGAAGTGGCAGAGTAAAACTGGTGGCTGGCGCGTCTGGAGGACCGCACATTACAACAGCGGTTTCTCTCGTAAGTTAAAATTAAGACATTCCAAAAAAAGCCATATAAATCTTATCTCTTAAAATGCAAAATAATACATCGTTATTTGATCTGCTGAGAATTATTATTTTCTACATACTTTTGCAGACGGTTGTGAACCAGTTGTGGTTGTCACGTGGCATTTCTAACGCTGTCAACGATCCACGAGTCCATCATCAACTCTTTCCAAATACGGTCATTATAGAGGAACCCCCCTACACCATCCCCATACGGATTCAAGATGGTTTAAGAGCCCGCAAACATAATATCACAATAGAGAGTTACTTTGCATCTGTGCAGGCGGTTGTTCGAGAAAAAGATGAAGAAATATTTGGGAAAAGTGATCCGAGAAAGTATGGATGGCCAGACGGCTTCTAAACTGATAACAAACTCTGATCTCTTCTCAGACAGTACACCAGTTTTACCAAAGATTAATTTTTGGCCTTTGGGGACATTTCACGCTCTATCAGACACTTACTCACAGATGGAAGTTTTAAGATCTACGATAATAAAACTAATTTCTTGTAACTCAGAGGGAACCTTGCTCTTTCGTCTTTCAATCTTTATACCGCTTTTCTGGAAGGCACAACAGAGCCGATTCTCAAAATAACTACTCCCTATTCTCAGGTCAACTGTCAATGTTAATGTGGCTTGCTATTCCTTTGACGGGATGCATCCAACACACGCTTTTCGAAATTCACTTCACTAGAAGTATACATCTATCCATAGGGATTCGCGTAACGCTATCGCCTTTCTGTTTACTGCAATTTATGGTAAAGATGTCACATAACAAAGTGTCACGGAAACCTTTGTCCTGGAGAAAAGGGAAGAGATGAAATTCAGGTTTCCGCCAAAGATAGTGATGTGATGCGAACATTTTCCATATTTATTCCTATTGCTTTTTTGTCATTAAAATCATAAAATAAAATTTGTAAAACTTGAAAGGAAGACTCAGAGGGCGTCTTAAAAAAACTCATTAATCTGCTTGAGATCTACTATAATCCTTTGCCATACCAGAGGGCAAGAACAAGAAGTCATGTTAATAACGTTAACTGCTGACAACTCTTCATTACTGCCCTCTGCATAAGATAAAGTATCTACAAACCTAGAATGTAATGCTGTCACAGAACACAATTTTCTCACTCAAAAATTGTAAGTCATAAACAGTTTCGATCCTCCTTTTCCTTTATCGAATGTTATTGCTTTTGCTATAAAATTTGTTTGTGAGGAAAAAAATCTCAGACACCACTCAGTAAGTGGGGGGAAGAGGGAGATTAGTGGGGGTAGTGAGGGAAGAAGAGACCCAGACCCAGACTGTGCATTACGAGTAAACTTAAGTAAATGATTTAGATCGATTTTCAGAATAAAATTCTATGACTGAAATAAAACTGCTAGGGATAAATTCTAAAGATTTTTGTATATTCACAACAATTCCATACAAACAAACAAACCAACAAACGTTTCTAGATCTTCATAGTTCATTCTAAAATTAAAAAATGTATATCATTAGTGAAACAAAATGGTTAAAATATTTCCATGCATCTCTATCTGAAATGCAAATGAAAATACCATTCGCTGTCCACGAAATTTTCACTATCCAAATAACCCATTTTGTCTTTACTCTTAAATTTATAGGAGTCAAGATATGATTCTTAAATCTTGAAAAAATCATCTTAAGGTTTTTTCAAGAGTGACCGCAATACGAGCCTCCCCACCCACCCCCTACTGCTCCTATAACGTTACAGTTTGACCAATATTTGGGAATAAAATATTTAAGTCACACATTATTTTAAATGCACTTTTAAATGCAATTACAATGCAACAACATACAATCTGAATGACGGACGATTAGAAAAAACCATGGCAAAAACCAAGGAAAATTGCAATTCTTGTCTACCTGAGCTTACCAAAACCACAAAAACAACTCTTCTGCATTCAAGACAGAGTAGAACATTCGTTCGTAAGATCTCGTTCAAGCAGTGAAGACAGAAACTGTAGCTGTAACTGTTTTGGTTCAGCAAATATGGTCATACACATGGAACACGAGATTCCTTCGTGAAGATTGTCAAGCAAGGTTTTAATAACTATGTCCGAGTACAAAAATAGGTCCGCAATGCGTACATGTGTGGCTTACGAAATTCAGCTGCTTTTTAGTGCCTGGTGTTTCATTGGGTTTCTATTAGAAGAGCTAATATCTGATTACCATTCGATAGTTTTCAATATTGATCCTGTTCATCAATAACACAAGATAACTAGCATACAAAAGTCCTGAAATGTTCATTCTAAAGATAAGTTATTGGCCAAACTTTGTTATGGAGGTCTCATTTTGACTACAAAGGTTGCACATGTAACCCGAGGATTTAAGGAACTGAAAAAACATCAGCATAACCTCCCATAGTGGTCTGATAGATTCAGTCATGAATATGTTTACGTAACGAAGTGGAATTGACTTCTGAAGTTTGTAGGTTGATTTTCTTTTCCAAGGCAAGTGATGTGAAATGAACTCTACGGAAGAATTTCATATGAATATTTTGACATTTTGTGTACCGGTACAGAAGGACAAAACTTTGGAGAAGGGCAGGGACATTCGGTGAGTGTAGGTTTCTTTTGTCCATTAGGGCATAAAGGTCAACTTTCAGTTGGTTGAGAGCCAAACGTTTACTATGATTATTGTATTTGTGGTTTTGTGGGACTGTATTTTCAATAAAGAACACAGAAAATTTAGTTCAGGTAGGTAGATTATGAGGTTGCAAATGAAAGAGTCTAGGGAAAAAAGATAGGTGCATTATAAGATAAGAACACAAGCAATATTTTAATGATTCATATGTTGAGTTAAGTACTCTGAAGTAACATTACATTAATATTGCTAATAATTTTTAACCCAATAAGATTTACAATTTGACCTGGAGGTTTCATTTAACAGAAAGTTCAACAGAGATAGAGTGTCACCATAATATATTTCAGGAACAGTAATCCGAGACATAACTTAAACACAGCAGAGTTCAATGTACAGGAAAATGCATAATGGTATAATATGATTTAAAATACCAGAAGCTTTCAGGTTTTCTTATTATTGAAATTGTAATTTCATGCCAGTGAGTCTACCAAATTTAAGCTATGTGGAGAAATGAATGGGTGAACTTGACATCATCATGCAAAGTGCTAATCTACTGTACAAAAAGGTCCAAAACAAACATGGTAAGCAACTGAACTTCATATATCATTTTGTGTTAGAGCACACAAGAGGACTTGTGAGACCTGCTTCACTCTCATTTGCCAGAACAAGATTGAACTTCTGGTACCAATCAAAATTCAGAATGACTGTGACAGTTTGGAACTGATCCGTTAAGACTGTGCTTTTAAGGGGTCTACAGATGTGATTAGAACCCTGGGTCTCCAAGGATACCCGATGATTATCTAATCCACATCAAGTAGCTCTAACTTTTAACTTTAAACGTAACAAATGTCAGTTCCATTGAACTGTCTTCATAAAAACTCAACAAAGTCTAAGCTAAGTAAATTAAAGTGTACTTTTGTATTCTAAATAAGCAGAAGTAAATTTTTCATAAACAATAAATGTTGAGCTCATGGCGTGTGTGCTGTTTAAAGTATTTGAAAATTTACAGGCGCTTATCATATGAGAAATCATGTTATTAATCATTCATAACATATACATGAAAGATACACATTCACAGGAAATCAACAAACTAATGGCAGATAAATTTGACAGTATTGACTAAATGAAGTGTGTGCCATAAAAATTTGTCCTTCAGCTGAATTCTTACTCAGGAATGCAATTTGTTAGTGTTTATCAATATGCATAAAAGTATCTAAGCTTTTGTTTATTTTTGTCAGTTACTGCATGTATCAATCAGAACAACCTACTTTGTGTAAATTTGATTGGTTTCTAATGTGATCTATTGTTGCTGAGCCTAGTTTATATTATTTTGTATGAGTTATTACTTTTTCACTAATGATAAATGAAAAAGGCAGCTAGCTATTTTCAGCCAATCAAAAAGTGTAATTTTTCATGTATATCAGTATTATGATGAATTCACCAAACCAAACAAGTAACTGAAAAGGAGTTGTAGTCTACCAAATAAAGGCCTAATACACATGTATTGCTACCAAGTATAGATACCAATGCTTATCTGAACCACTATGAAGAGAATCTAGAAGACTGCCAAGCTTGAAGGAAGTCATGAAATGTTAAGGTCTGAATAATTCTGGCCATAACTTGGAAAACATAACACTAATCACATTTCAGTCAACATTAAAGCACAAGGCTCCTGTTCATATTTTAATAAAAGCAAAACCACTTTGTTACTGAGTTTCAATGGATTACTCCTCAAAGTTTGGAAACAATCACAATAGACATTTAGCACCATGTTAACGACAAACCGCAGTTTCAGGTTAGGCATTAGATGTTTGTGACTTTTATTGGTTTAGCTATGTAAACATGAAAGTATAATTTCATTTAGAGAGGCCGTCAAATTGAATTTCCAGACAACAGCAGTGTTTGATTTTCTAATAGCAACAAAAAAGTCCTATTTTCACTACTGGCTAAAAATGGTTTATTCTGTTCATATTCAATGACATGTAATGCCATCAATGGCAGTGTATTCTGCAGTTTAACCAAAATTTTATCTTTGCATGTACTAAAAAGACTGGTAAAGTAATTTTCTTACTGAGTATGTGGTATAAACAGAAATTCA